AAACAGATGGAGACCTGTCAAGGACTTGCCCAAGTCATAAGTCTGTGGCAGATACAAGATTTCAGCCCAGATGTCCTACCTTAAAAAAAGAAAAGAAAAATAACATATTTTATGTATTTATGTAGGCCTCTTCATACGATAACATGGCTACATTTCAGGTATCCAAAAGAGCAGGGGTCCCCAATGTGCCCACGGGTGCAATAGCGCCCACGGATGACACCTTCTCGATGCTCACCAAGTGTTTTTAGAAAGTGGGTGGGGCCACGTAGGGCTCTTCCTCGTCATGGCGTCTGACGGGCCACTGGAGATCTGATTGGCTGTGTAGATTAAAATAGCAATGTCTCTTCAGCAGCAGTTGCTACCCCCAGTGCTGGTTTTGATTTTTAAGTTATCGCACTTCCCCCCCTGCACTTGGGCTTCCTCTGTGTGTTTGGTCCCATCTTCTGTGGTTGCTTCATCCTCCTGTGGCAGCTGTTCTGTGGCTGCGTGCCCACCAACTTGTATCAGAATTCCAAAGGTGACCCACAGGCTCAAAAAGGGTGGGGGCCTCTGCTAGAGCAATCCCAAACAGAGTTACATACTTGTTGCAAGCAATTATTTATATAGGCACCTGGGATCTACTGCAGCAGCTCCCACGATGAATGTAAACTTGGTGGCAACCATGCTTTGCTGCTGTGGTGTGGCCATCAGTGCCTGTCCAATGGAACACAGCGTCTTGTCATAGTTTTTCCATTTTCCTTATAAAAGTTGTTTATTGCACACATCAGATATCCTGGAATACGACAGTCATTTAGGTAACGGTAAAGGTCTGATCCTTTGAATGTGCTTTGGGCATACTTGCATATTATAAGTAGCCTGAAAGTCGAATCCGAATCCGAAAGTCGAATCCGAATCCGTTTCCAAGCCAAAGAGCCAGTGCTGTCCAAAGACATTTCTGTGGTCATGTGGCCAGCATCACTAAACGCCAAGGCGCATGGAACACTGTTACCTTCCCACCAAAGCGGTACCTATTTATCTACTTGTGATTTTTTGCTTTTCGAACTGCTAGGTTGGCAGGAACTGGGGCCAGAGACCGGAGCTCACTCTGTCACGTGGCACTAGGGTCTCGAACTGCTGAACTACAGACCTTCCAGTATGCAGCTCAGCATCTTAACCTTTGAGCCACCATGGGCCCCACAACAGTCATTTAGTAAAAAACACAAACAAAAATTACTAGTCTTTACCACTCCAGAACTCTAGTGGAAGAGGAATGCCAGAGGGTAGAAACACTTGCTCTGGTTTCTCCATCTGTTGTTGGAATTTTACTAAGAGAACATGAAAGGGAAACCACACCCTACATCTTATCTTACCCTGGACTGTATCAGTGGGGAGAAAAGGGTGCATCTGCTGGCGTGCCACACCTAAGGAAACGGTCCTGCATTTTTTGTGGGAGTGGTTTGCTTATGTTGTTGGCAGGAAAGGAGTTGCTGTTCTTTCCCTCCCTTCAGCAAAATGCGTTTTGCAGCTGCAGTTCAAATCCCAAAGAAAATCTTTTAGTTGAAGAAGCAAGGTTATATTATAGTATCCAGTGGAGCAATGCTAAACAAAGTTATGTCTTCGTAACTCTATTGAGCTCGGTGGATATCCTGCTTTGAATATCTGCACTTGTAGGGCAGAATCTTAGGGTTGGATCCAGTGCAAAATTCCCACCTGTGCTAGAACTCTTGTGAAAGTGGAAGTGCAAGGAAGTGATAGCCCGTAGCAATAAGTCAAACATTTCATCCCCACTTGTGTTTTCACCTGTGCAAGATCTTGTGCAAACCAGTTTCTGGGCACTCTGAAATATATGGAGGAGAGTGCTAGGTGTTGCACAAGGTCTTGCACAAGCAGAACTGTGACAAATCTATTTGTGTTTCTGCTTGCGCCCAGTTTGTTCCAAGTCATAGTCCCCTCTCCCCAAGCAGTAAGAAATGGGGCAGACTTGGCCATATTACTTATACATTTATTGGTCATAGAACAAAGTTTGAGTCCAGTGGCACCTTTAAGACCAACGAAGTTTTTTCTGGGTAAAAGCTTTTGTGTGCATGCACACTTCATCGGAAGAAGTATTGCATGCACATGAAAGCTTATACCCAGAATTAAACTTTTTTTAATTTAATTTTTTTTATTATTTTGAACGATAACAGTAACATATTAAACCATAACATAGTACATTGAATTATGCTTGAGAATTAAACTTTGTTGGCCTTAAAGGTGCCGCTGGACTGAAACTTTGTTCTATGGCTTCAGACCAACACGGCTACCCACCTGAATCTATTTATTGGTCATGTTTGTGTAAGATGCCTTTCCTCCACGGATGCAGTACAACATTTTAGCCTCATAACAACTCTGTGAAAGAGATTAGAGTGTTATTCACTGGGTAGACTTTAGTTAGTATCCTAAGTATGTGGGAGCTGAACCTGGGTTTCCCACATTCAGGCCCAAGTCTGTAGCCGTTGCACAGTCTAAAATAAGCTGTTATTAAGAAGAGAACTGAAGTGCAGCCTAAATTCAGAATGGAAGCAGAAGTATTCTACAGGCCTACATTTAGCCAAAAAAACCACTTTTACTTTAAGGAAAACTGCCTATTTTGACCAATTACTGAGAGGAGTGGTGTTCATCTTCCAGCTTGTTGATTGCAACCATGGAAAACAAATAATACTGTGTAGTATGTAGGAGAAATACTCAAGCTGCAAGGGAAAATTGCAGCTTACTTAGCTAGCAGTGACTTAGGGAGCTCTTCAGCTTGAAATGATAACATATTGGGCATAGCCTGTCTTCTCCCTCTCCCTTCTCTTTTTGCCGTATCTTCTACCACAACATGCTGTGATAATCGCACATTCTTCTGTGGGCAGGTCTTTTTTTGTCAAAACTGGGTTGTACTGCATCAAGCTCAGTCTTAGCCCTGTGTAGTCCCTTCCCCCCCGCCCCCATGTGCAAACAGCATGTACGTCTTTCAAGAAGACTTCAGAACAATTTTTCTGTGGCTGATTCTGAGAACAATTTGACTTCCTGATTTTACGAGGGAGCCTCCGGCATAGCAAGCAAATGTCTGGCCAGAGTCTTAGTGGTTTACATATATGGAAGGGAAGTGATATCAGTGGGACAACTTGTTGTGCTGTGTTGGCTTTCACTTGGACAGACATTTCTCCTCATTTACTGACATTTCTTGCCATGAGTGGGCAGTACTATTCTGCTTGAATATTGTGCTAGTTATGTAAGAAGCTGGCTGTGGATATTCCATCCGTAAAACATGAAGGCCCTGTTTGTGTTTGTACTTTCAAAACCACTGTACAATATGTATACCACGTGTATGTTTACATGAAAACACCAGCTTGCAAGTTTGAAAAAGTATGTGATGTACCGGAGCATGGGCCACTCTCAAATCATTGGTATCCAAGACGGGTGTTGGCCCATTGTTGCATTATACCCACAACAAACAGGTCAGTATTAAAATTTCCAGGCTAGGATCCTGTTAGTCTCTTCTGTTAAGTTCAGTCATATGACACTCTTCTGCTAAGTCTTCCTTCAGTGGAGAATAGTTTTATTTTTCTGGAGGGAAAAGTCTTTCTGTCATAGAGAGCCTTTCTGTTTTGAATAATGTCTTTCTGTGTTGGAGGGGAGTTATAGGGTTGGATCTAGCCAGCTTTTTTTCACTCAGCGTCATCGAATTCTCTATTCCATTCCCTGATGCCTTTTGTCTTTGCCTAGGCTTTTTGGTGGTCTTTTTGCACCAGCAGAAAATCTGGTAGAATACAGTACTCAAATTTATTTAATTCCCTAGTTGCAATTTATGTTCCATCTACTAACATTCTGACCTGTTGGCAAATCATTTTACGCAATTGGCTGCGCCCTCTGTTATGATTGGAAGTAAGATGGCAGGATAAACTTAGAGCAAGATCAGCCTTTTTTCCAGCCTTGAACATCTTACAAGGTTTGAATTGGAATGTTAGAACTTTCAGGTACAGGGTTACTAACAGAGACCTCCAAATCAATAGGGGACTTCATATTAGTCTCTCTCTCTCTGTTAAAGAAACCTCACCTTCTTTGCCAAGACTAAGTCATAACTGTCCAGTTTGTCAGCAGGAGCACATGTTGTGCAAGAAGGCCTCATAAGATTGGCATGCACTGGCATGCTGATGGGAATACAGCTTGAAGCAACAGGAATACAATTGCAAGCACATCCACAAAATTTTATTGTTAACAGCGCTATCGAGTCTGTTTACTGTTTTGATTGGATCTTGTTTCAAACGGTAACATTTTCTCTCTGTAATATCTGTGTCCCCCCCTTTCTGTTTGCAGCCCTTAATGTAAACACATCAGTCTGATGAATGAAGCATCTGATGAAGGGGCCTTACCTGGTGAAAGCTTATGATGAAATAAATCTTGTTAGTCTCTAAGGTGTTGCTGGATTCCTGTTTTATTTAATAAAAGCTACTAAGCCAGAATTATTTTTATTACCCCACCTGTTTCCATATACTTTATTCATTCATGGCATATGGACAAGGGAGTCCAAACTCCCCCCCCCCGGGTTTTGCCCCAGTTTTCATGCCATTGCATGCTTGGTTGCTTCTTGGCAACTAGGTGACTTGTTTGTTAATAGGTCTGTTAAGGATTAGAAAAGTAAATAGATCACAACTGTGTATGTGTGGTGAGATTAATTTCTGTACAATACTGTTATTTACCTAAATTATGCCCCCCCCCCGTTTCTTGCCTCCCTCAGTTAACTTTTTGCTTAATCACATGATAGTTCTGTTTGTACCATTGGATTCTGTTGGTCCTGCAAGTTGCAGGTAATCCCTGTCCCATTCCTTAGCGATTTAAATATTATATATTATAGCTTCACTGATGTCAGTGGACCTGAATCATCATCAGTTGTCATTCCCCCCTACTTTCTTTATTCCTTAATAAAGAAAAAAATTAAAAGTTTTTAACCTTGTTGACTCGATTGCAAATTATTAATTGTTGCATATTTCTATTAGCAAGCTAAAAAAGCTGAGTGAAGACAGCTTGACTAAGCAGCCCGAAGAAGTCTTTGATGTCTTGGAGAAGCTTGGCGAAGGGTACGTGGAATCTGTGTGTGGCAGGGCGGGTGGGGCAGCTGGGCAGACTCCAAACAGATATCAGACAAATGCAGATCGTAGTGTGACTGATCTTGAGCATAGGTAGAAGTCTCACTTGAGCCAGTGCCCACAGCCAAGTAATCCAGGCCGATCTTAGGCTGAGAGGTAAAGTAGAATATAAATGTTGTAGAAGGCCTAACAATCTTTGTTTTTTTTAAAAAACATGGAAACAGCTTTGGGAAGATGCAGTTGTGGGTGATGGTGAAGGGAATGTTTAATCCTTTCCCCACCAGCCGTTTTTAGTGCTCCAGATTGCCTTCTCCTGCTGGGTAATGCATGTATGTTTTGCCTCTGAGGTCAGCTCTGCTGCTGTTGGGGCTGAAGGCATCCCACTGGGCACAGTTTTTCTTTCCTTTGGAGCGCCAGCAGTGTATATTAACTAATATTTGTACAGCAAGTGATGCTGCCTCCCACATGCTACTGAGGCACACTGGCAGCGATTTCCAACATGGCTGTCGCTTCCGTACAAGGAAACAACACATACAGAACTTTATGCACATGTGCCTGTTGAGAACTCATATTTGTCAGAGAGAAGGCGAAAACATAAATATATTTTTCCCTTTAAATATGCACTTCTTGAATTGTACTTGTGAATGTGCATTGAACCTAGCAAAGCAATATTGGAACCTAATTTTGCTAGGTCTTTATGCAGTAATTGAAAAAAATCCTTACAATTTCAATTTGAGTAGTTTCTTAAGCATAGGAAATATTCTTGAAAAAGTAGCCTGCTGCTTGTAGATACATAATATCTTGGTTAACTGCCTCAATTGAGATATGAGAATGTACAGACATGGCACTTCAGGTTTGTAAAAGGTTACCGTTACTAGATTCCTGTTTCTACATTTTTTGGTATAAGCAAGATTAGTGTAAGAGGTGGGTCTGCCCTTTGTCCCCAACTTAACAGTAAGTCTTCAAATTGCATTCTTCAGAAGTATCAGCCCTCTTTGGTAAAATGGGATGCTTTGCTAAAACTAGTGATTGGTAGCAATTTTCTTTGAACAAATAAATCTGCATTGTATTAACCAGCCAGATGTTACATATGGAGTTGTAAAAAATAGAAAGTAGTACTAGTAGCTTTTATGATATTTAGCAATACAAGTGAATGTCTTCAGAAGTCATGAATTAAGAATGAGGACATTTCTTAACAGCCAAGGAGAAAATGCTTCCTCCTGCTCTGATAACTCTTGATTATTTTTAAGTCATTTAAATAAGTATGACCCATTTACTCGTTCGGAAGTAATTCAATAATTTAGAAGGAAATTGCATTGAAACTGACAATGTGTAGTTCTAAACTTTTTTAGGAAGATATTTAAGCTGGTAGAAAAGTCCCAAAAGCTGCAGCCTAACAAGAAGCAGGAAAATAAGTGTTGTATTCCTGTTCCATTCATTTACTCATGTGTTCTATGAAGGGAAAAAGGGAATTGTGCAAAACAGGAACCTGATAAACATAGGAAGAATTACTGGGCAAATCCAGTGAACTTATAAAAACATTAGGCCATGGGAGGCATATGTAAATCAAACATGTACAATTGGAGAACTCAAGTTATTAACGCAAAAATGGAAGTCTAAATCCATGCCTGTGTATTAAATTATATTAAATTATATGGATGAATAGACTCTTTGGTGACATCTATTGGCATCTGGTCAGAGGTGTAATTGTTAGGTCCTAAGAAAGTATGGAGCTGCGGTGGCTCAAGTGGTTAAGACACTGAACTGCAGGCTGTGGAAGGTCGGTAGATCATCAGTTCGAGACCCGAGTGTGCCGCATGATGGAGTGAGCTCCCGTCTCTAGTTCCAGCTCCTGCCAACCTAGCAGTTCAAAAGCAAGAAATTTCAAGTAGATAAATAGGTTTAGTCATGCCAGCTACAAGACCATGGAAATGTCTTCGGACAGCGCTGGCTCTTCGGCTTTGAAACGGAGATGAGCACCACAACCCTAGAGTCTGATTCGATTAGCTTTCGAGCAAGGGAACCTTTACCTTTTAAGAAAGTATACACAAGTTAGGAATGAAAAAAACCCTGACTTATTTTCTCCCACACTGAGGACATTAGTCTCTTGGTGAGATTTTTTAGAAAGTTATTTAAACCCCTCTCATTAATGGCAGCCATTAATTTTGGGAAAACTGAAGGTGCAATACGGGTGAGAAATAGATTTTCCTAATCTTTAGAGCTGTGGAGCAATATTGGTTCCTTTAAATAATTTCTTGGAGGAATATCCAAGATTTCCACCTTGGAAGATTTCCCCCAAGAGATAAATTTCTTGTGATGTTGGTCCCGCTGATGGACCTCCTGATGGCACCTGGTATTTTTGGCCACTGTGTGACAGAGTGTTGGACTGGATGGGCCATTGGCCTGATCCAACATTGGCTTCTCTTATGTTCCTATGTTCTTATGCTACAGTGAAATGAATACACTGAGAGCTAAACAGTTCGTTGTAATTAATAAAAGTGCATAAAGAGACAATTTCTTTGTCTTATCTTATTGTTCCCAAATGTTATAAACAGTAACTAATGCTCAATAGATTGATCTGAACATGGAAAATTATTTCTCTGGGCCATTTGATAATATGCTAATTTAGTTAATAAGGCATATTGCTCACAGAGGGATACTTTAAAGTGTTCATTGCAGTAAGTGCTGCTTTCTGTGCAGCAAATGCAACTGCTGCATAGATACGAGTTGACCCTTGCTGACACTGGTTTTAATGGACATGGTATTATTGTTCTTGTTACCAGGAGCCTCAAACTGTACTGCCTTTTTTCCACCCCCACCTCTAGGTCTTACGGCAGCGTTTTTAAAGCAATACACAAGGAATCTGGGCAGGTCGTGGCAATTAAGCAAGTCCCTGTTGAATCAGACCTACAGGAAATCATTAAAGAAATTTCTATAATGCAACAGTGTGACAGGTATGTATGACACTTATTTCGAGTACTCTGCCAATTTTTTTTTAAATCTCTAAAAGCCTTCAGGTAATAGTATATATATTTTTAAAGAAATGCAATCTGAAACTGAAAGGTCCTTACACCTTAAAATATGAAAATGAACATGTACTGTTGGGTTACAGCCTTGCTACTTCTTCTTTTATTCCCCCCACCTCCCCTGCCCACTAGCTATGACATCTATATAACTGTGGTCCACTGTGTCTTGTTATGTAGGCTATGTAGGTACTGGCACTTGGAATTGCCATTGTGATTCTGAAGCGATCCTGTGTGAGATTGTCATGCATACTTGGGAGAGGGGGTTGTTGCCTTGGGGCTGGAGACTGGGTATTCATTTCTGATGGATTTCTCCTTCTTGAGAAACTGGGAATATGGCCGCACTAATTCTGAGCTGTCTGGATCTAATGCTCCATGTAAATGTTCTTTATCTCTGTAATCCATTCTGTCTTATGGTTCTGGGCAAATAGCATATACTCGTAAAGCTTCCAGCTCTTCCCTCTTTCATCCTTCTCCCAGATATATTTTAGTTAACGATGGAGGGAAGAAGAGGGCTCAAAATGCAGGCACTTGTTTGAACTGTAGCACAATCCCCCCCCCCCGGTGGTGTGTGGGATCCAGTTCAGAATGCCAAACTATAGACCAGAGCAGGTCTGTAGCTACGGTGGGACATTTTGGGGCCCAGCCCCCTGACTTTCTACCAAGGCCCCATGACTTCCCCGCTTGCCAGCAGCCCCACCAGCTCCATCCTGGGCTGGCGGTGGGGGGGAGGGACTGTGGGTCCCAAGCTGGTGGTATGGGGCGGTTGCAGCAGGAAGCGGCATGAGGCAGCCAAGTGAGCAGGCCAGCAGGTGAGGTGGGGCCGGTGGGCTGTGGGTCCCAAGCTGGTGGTGGCAGTAGTGCAGGGCGGCCGCCACAGGAAGCAGTACAAAGCAGCCAGGTGGGCAGGACAGCAGGTGAGGTGGGTCCAGTGGGTGCAGGGAGGCAAAAGGGGCTTGTTTCTGTTGTAGATGGCTCTCCCCCTTCCGCCAGCTCGGGCAACCTTGGCTGCTGCAAACTGAGGGCAAAGCCCTCATCTCTTCGAAATCGGCGTGAAAATCAAATGCCGGGCAGCGGGCACAGAAAAATGTGTCTCTGAACATGCACAGAGTTACCCACAGGAAGGCACGTTGCCTGCCGCTCCTCCTCGTTTTACAAAGGAGAAACAGGTGGATGCACAGGGGTAGTAACTTGCTGCACTGCGCATGGGGGTTAGAAGCTGCGAACTGCTTAAATCTAAATCTTTAATGAGCTCAGGAGTCAGTGACTTCCACTTACACTCACCCTCCACAATATGGGAAATAATCCTGCTCCTGCCTGCTCCAACTGGGAGGTTTAAAAAAAAACTTTATCAGTGCCCCCCGACTTATTTAAAGCCCCCCCCCAATTAAAAAATCCTGGCTACGGGCCTGAACCAGAGTGATGCACGTGAGCCTCAGTGTTGCCCATTCCTTCCTCTTCCCCTTATGTACTGTGTCTCTTTCTCCTTTCCTATTTGTTTGTAAATACATGTCAACTGGGCAAACGATGGTTTCCACACAACACAAGTGTGTATGCGAACCAGGCAGTGTCAGACTCTAGTTTCCTTACAAACAGGAAGGGCGGGAGGAGATTTGAGAACACGAGAGGAAGGGGAGGGTGTGTGGTGCATGTTTCTGAGGCTTGTTCACATATCTCCGAACCATACTTTGGCATTTACTTCAAAACTTAGCATGTGTAGGAAGTAGGGTTGCCAGCTCTAGGTTGGGGGGTGGAGCCTGGGGAGGGCAGGGTTTGTGGAGGGGAGGGACCTCAGCGGGGGATAAGGCCACAGAGTCCGCCTTCCAAATCAGCTATTTTCTCCAGGGAAACTGGCCTTGATCGTCTGGAGATTGTGATAGTGGGAGATCTCCAGGCGTCTCCTGGATGTTGATATCCCTAGTAGGAACCTTCTGGGTGGATCCTCAGTTTGCCCACAGTATCTCCAATTGTAAATGAAGTACAAGTGCTTAAGAGGGGCTTCCTTCCATGGCCAAGATGGGTAGTGCCAGATAGCTGCCGAAGAAAGATGAGGGTGTATCTTTTGTAAAATGTTTGTGTGGGGGGAATTTCCCCTTTTTAAGGTTTCTTCCGTATCAGTGGAGATCTTTATGGAAACCTTATGGATGTCTAGAAACTCACACACAGTAGTAAAAGTGGGACTAAAGAGAACTTAAATTAGTTTTTGCAAGAATGTTGCTCGCCTCTAAAGATTCGAATAGCACATACGCTTTGGCAGGCATTTAATCATTCTTTTTTATGGTAGCTTGTTAATCTTTACCATGAGTTCTTCAGGATTTGTTGAAGCGATTGTTCCAAAATATTGTCTCTTTGGAATAGTAAAGTTTAAAGTCCATCATGTATCTCTGATAAGGATGGATGAAATAGATTTTATGATAGCCATCCCTACAAGAAATTGGTATACATACCAATGGGAATTTGATGCTTATTGAACAGTACTTGAGAGACATGCTGTTGCTTGATACTAATATGCCAAAAGTAAAACTGGTGCTTGACTCATTAGCAGAGGATAAAGTAAATGCTAAAACTTGGAAAAGCCAGAGACCCTTGAACTAGAGAGAAAGGAAGCCTTAAGCGCTTGTGTTTTTTCTAAGTGAAGTATATATGTGGTGGTGGCACCAGGAGCTAAACCTACTGTGTCCTTGGAGATACAGTTTCCCACAGCTCTTCATTAGGCTGGATGTTACAAAATTTAAAAATGATAGAAAGCACGTTTTTTTAGGCTGTAATGGTCGAGGAGGTTCTGTTCCACTGTATCTGAGGAAGTGTGCTTGCACACACGAGCTTATACCGTGACTGAAACTTTGTTGGTCTTAAAGGTGCCACTGGACTCATAGTTTGTTCTGCTGCTTCAGACCAACATGGCTACCCCACCTGAATCTTTTTTTTTTTAGGCTGTAATCTTTGGGTCTGATCTTGCAGGCATCTTCAGTGAAATGCAAGCAGGCAGTCGGCTTTACTTTGCTTCTCAGGCACAGAGATACAGCATGGTCTCTGGGAAGCGACATTCAGTTGTGGAATTCTCTTTAGTGGTGGTGGTGGGGAGAGGAGTAGGTCCTCAGTGCAAGCAGTACAGAACAAATTAAAAAAAACACAGGACCATAAGGAACTAATTGTATTGCCAGCGTAAAAACAAACAATACAGCATGCATGGCTGATATTAACAAATAGCGAGAGGCTGGGTAACCTCATTGTATCATCAGAGTCATGAGAAATTTTCACATGAGAAACACTCCAGCATGTAACAAAACAGGGTTGGAATCAGTTGTATCTTCATATAAATCCATTGGCTAAAATATTTACTACTGCTGCTTGGACACATGACACATGAAGCTGCCTTACTCTGAGTTAGGCCCTTGGTCCATCAAAGTCAGTATTGTCTACTCAGATGGGCAGTGGCTCTCCAGGGTCCCAGGCAGAGGTCTTCTGCATTACCTCCTGCCTGACCCTTTTGACTGGAGATGCCAGGGATTGAACGTGGGACCTTCTGCATCCCAGGCGGATGCTCTTGAACCGTGGCTTGTTCTAACTTCATTCCTGATGTCCTTACAAATAAAAATCTGATCTCTGATTCTCATGAATCTGAACATACCGAAGGAAGTAGTCTTTGTTATTTTGTAATATTTGTAATTTTCCATTCATGTTGCACTGTTGATTCCTCGTGGGGTCCTCTGTTTTGTTATATAACTATTATTGGACCAACATAAATAACAAAGCAGTAATTAAGCCCAAGTCCTCTTATTCAGGCTCAGTGTTCAGTGGGGGGGAAACGGGACAGGGGAAGAAGAAGAGCGATTTTAAAAACACACCAGGATTTACCAGCTGATGGTCAGATAAGTACAGATTCTGGAGTGGTGCCAGTGACTCTTTGACTTTCGAAATGCTTGTCAGACTCTTAAATGCTTGTTCTTCAGAGCCTGGTGCTATATACCACTTCCAACTTGAAATTTAGTTCAGATTGGGGGTGCTGGGACAAGTTTTGGGAACTTCTCTTGTTTGTCTTCATCCATTTGGTTATGTAGTGTGAAAGGTAGTTTTTAAGGAGTATACAGGATACAATGAATAAGTGGATGTGGGCTTTTTTATGATTGGATGATACTACAACTTTTTTACTCCCCTCCACCCCCATTCTGAAGATCTAATCGGAACTTAGCATTTATCTGGCTGCTTGGGGGGGGGGGGAACCTGCCAGCTTCTGTTTCAAGTAGAACTGCCACTGGATTCTTATAACGTTCTTGCTGACAGCCATGTTTCTTTGTGTTTAGCCCATATGTTGTCAAATACTATGGCAGCTATTTTAAGAACACTGACCTGTGGATTGTTATGGAGTACTGTGGAGCTGGTTCTGTCTCGGACATAATCAGGTTGCGGAATAAAACGGTAAGTTTACTTCTACTGAATGCTGTTATTGATCAACATGACGTTGGGATACATCTGAAATTGTTCTTATCAAAGCTGTGTTATTCCTGTCGGAGACTTCTCTGCAAAGGTGCCACTTTTAAGTACTGAACCCTCTTGAATGAGATTTGTTGAGTTCTTTGTGGAGATCTTTATTAGAGCTTTGTTCAAGCTCTGGCCGGGTTTAATGAAGACAGACAGCCTTTTGAGTTGTATTCTGAAGCAAGGTGGCAGGGAAATGATGTTTGTATGGTTCTGTCAATTATATCTCTGGAGCAGTTTATCTCCATTAAGAGCCAAGTTGCTACAGCTTCATCAGGAGCAGCACGTTGCAGTAACTCGCTTGTGAAACTGTAAAAGCATGGATGATGGTTGCTAGATTCTTACAATCCAGGAGAGGGCACAGCTGACATATCAGTTGTAATTGATAAAACTCATTCCTGGCTACTGGCTCCACCTATTTATTGGAAAGTGGGACATGATTTAGATTGCCTCCAAGATTCTGACCCTGCTTTTTTAGAGTGAAAGAACTTCCAGTTAGGGGCACCCATCTCATCCAGGCTGGGAACATAAAGTAGGAACTGGTAGGCTGTTCCTTAGGCAAAGGCCTGAGCCTGACCGACAGGCTCACAAGAGACAATGAGCACTTTGCTGATGAAGACTGAAAGGATGTTGTCACACAGCTGAGTAAGCAGGTCTATGCAAGATGGAGGGTTCAGGCTCAGGCCCCTTACCCTTCTCCATGCTGCTAAATTTTGAACTGTGTTCTGTTACACAGCAAAGAAATGACCATAGGCGATCACTGTGATTAAAAGAGTGCATTGAAGGATTAAAAGCAACTAAACATTGATGCTTTTTGAAAACTTATGTATTGAAATGCTGTTTTGAAGGAAAAGAGGAGCACAGCTTTTAAATTCTGTTTAGGGGAATAAAATGTATGTAAAATAGAACATTAAAATATTGTTTTAGTACCTTATTGTTTGTAGCTAGCATCAATACATGTATAGAACTGTTTTTCATTAGTTTCCTGTTTGGTTGATGGAAATTAAAGCTCTTTTGTTCTTGTTGAAGAGCTGTCACAATGTATTTACAAACTAATTAGACCTTTAGGTTTTGTTTTAAACCTGAAGAAAGTTGGAAGAAAATTTGCATGCTTTCCATTAAGGGCTGTAGTCTTATACCCAATGATACCAAGTAAGCCTTTAAGCCACAGTAAGAGATTTGCATTAATATTGTGAACAAAAAGTAGTTAATCGTAATGTATCAAAAATTATCTTAAGTGTCATCAAATGGTTCTCTAACAAGGGCCAGTTGGATACAGACTGCTGTAGAATTAACAGCTTCATAGTTACATTATGTTGCTATGGAACGATGTTGAGTTATGAGTTTCACATACAAAACTTAAGTTCAGAGAGGAATGGATTCTTGACTCTCCCCTTCAGCTGCCTTTGGGTTCCATAGGAAGTGAAGACAGCCTGAGGCGAAGCAAATCTTTATGATTTCTGTTGCTGGGTTTTCAATTAATATGTCCAGTGAGAGCCAGTGTGACGCAGTGGTTAAAGCGTTGGACTAGGATCTGGGAGCCCTGCTCTGCCATGGAAGCTCACTGGGTGACCTCGGGCAAGTCACACTCTCTCAGATTAACCTACCTCATAGGGTGGTTGTGAGGATAAAACGGATAGGATAATGATGTAAGCTGCTTTGGGTCGCCATTGGGGAGAAAGGGAGGGTATAAATGAAGTAAATAAATAACAGGGATAAGGATGAGATGGAGTCTTCTTTTAAAAACAAAACTCGAAATGTAAGCACTCCTCCTCTTATCTAGAGACTGAAACAGCAGTTTCTCCTTCAGGCCCAGGAGTGCCATGAGCCTCGGGATGATAACGATGTTTAGTACATTGGTGAAGTGCTTGGGATAGCTGTTGAACAGGAAGTTCCTGGGAGAACCATTCTAATACAGCTTCTCTGGCATCGTAGCTTGTTCAGAGTATGACATATATTCTCCCACCTAGCTGGTTTACACAGAAAATGTCTTATTTTTATGGTTTGTGGGTGAAGGCTGCCTCTCAGTGCACATTTCCCTCATTCCAGGGTACTGGGAGGTGTTCATTTCTCTGGCCCTGTGACTGCTTAAAAAGTTGTGGTTTTTTTTTTTGATGCAAGGTGTGGAATGTATTTTCCACTGAATGCTTTTGGTAATAGAAGCTTTTGGGGGATCCATTACCTGAAGAAGTATCTCCAGAGAATGTAAGCTTTGCAGTTAAATCCTGAAATCAAGGAAAAAGGTGTCCAGCAATCTAAACATCTGTCAAAGGTGGTATGAATTGTATTTGTAATCACACCCACAATAATTGTGGGTTAATACTGGGACATTGTCTTACTGTGTGCTATACATATACAACCGAAAACAGTGCATGGTCTGAAGAGTTCATCACCTGACCTTTTTTGTGGGGATTAGGCGTTCAGAGAAAGGTGGGATGTAAGTATTTTAATAAGCTTATGCATTCGTTTAATGTTCCCCTTTTACAATGCCAGTAAAGGTATGATGATGCTGAATAAACACAGTTTTCTCTGTCTTGCCAAGGAATTAATTTGTTAATCCACAAGAAAGGCTTCTAAACATGTACTCCTCATGTTGGATTCATTCAGACCCTTGGTCTGCAATTTGTTCTCTATAGATGCAGTCTCTTTTGTGCCTGTTTAATGCTTTTTGACTTCTGTGGGATCTTTCTTAAGCTCAAGGAGGTCACGCCATGTGGATTGGATTGCAGGACTGGATTGCCTTGATCGGGCTTCCTTTCCGTACTTGTAAAGCATTTTGCATGCTGTGTAAATAATAATTATAAGGCAGTTTGCATAATTTTGTGTTATACTTTCTTAGGTTTTCAGATTGTTTATGTAAGTGTGCAATCAGTGTGTGTGTACATACAGAAGGGAAAAAAATGGCTGGTTATTTATGTTTCCTTGTAGCTCACAGAAGATGAAATCGCAACCATTCTTAAATCCACGCTTAAAGGACTTGAATATTTGCACTTCATGAGAAAAATACATAGAGATATAAAGGCTGGAAACATCCTCTTAAACACAGAAGGGCATGCCAAATTAGCCGACTTCGGAGTGGCTGGCCAGTTAACTGTAAGTGTGAAGCCTGTGGGTGAAGTTCTTCTATCCGATAAGCAATTAAAAGCATTACAGTGCACCCGTCATAAAGAAGATTCCATAGCACTTGCTGCTTATGAGACGGAATGAGAATCTTCTGTCATGAGAGCAAAAAATTTTCTCTTGCATACTGAAACTCGCCCCTAATCAGGACCCTCTCCAGTGGATTTGTGTGCGTGTTAGGGATGTCAGTCAAACAGTGAGATGTGTTCTGCCAAGCTCTTCAACCAGGAGGGTTGAATTTAAACACATTGTCATGATCTGAATGTGTGTGTGTTGCCACATATGCACGTTTTCTGAAAAAGTTAACTCATGTACAACTTGTAAAAAATAAGGTGATGCTCTTCATTTCAGAGCTAGAGCCTCTAGCTTTTAAGTGATTCACTTGTACTGTTTGCAAATGAACTGTGTGCTGAAAAAAAGATATTGGCTATTAACAGATACAGCTGAATGTGAGAAGCGGAACTCAGAGGTTTAGCATTGTTAGGACTGCTGTGTACATTCTGTGCATCTGTGCATGTACACGCAACAGGGGGCTGTGGCCAGCCCCAATTTTCTTGTACCTATGTCTCAGTGTTGTACAGGCTCACAAACATGTTTACCATGTGTGTGCACTGACTTTCTCCCCCACACCATTCTGCGGACGTGGGGAATCTTTCTTTTAGAGCATGACTCTTTGAATTAAGAACATAAGAACATAAGAGATGCCAATGTTGGATCAGGCCAAAGGCCCATCCAGTCCAACACTCTGTATCCCACAGTGGCCAGAAATACCAGTGCCATCAGGAGGTCCACCAGTGGGGCCAGGACATTAGAAGCCCTCCCACTGTTGACCCCCCCCCCCCAAGCACCAAGATGACAGAGCATCACTTGCCCCAGAGTCCCTATCTATACCTTGTGGCTAATAGCCACTGATGGACCTCTGTTCCATATGCTTATCTAATTCCCTTTTGAAGCCGTCCATGCTTGTAGCCGCCACCACTTCCTGTGGCAGTGAATTGAAGGGAGGCTCCACTGTTAATAGAATAGGAACTTTGGATCCAACTCAGTGTGCATATCTATAAGGTTATAATGTGCGGTTATACATAGATATGCATACCGAAAATAGAAAGCAGAGACTTTTCTCCAGAAACAATCAGGTAGTGTTTTTCTTTGCCTGTTTTAAGTAGGCAATGCCACAGCAACTGTTCCAGGGTTGATTTTCCACATTTTAAAGCAGTTTATTGCTGAGCTTTGTCAACAACTTTGCATAATAGTACTAATTCAACTGTGGAAGACAAAAGAAAGTCCCCTCGAGTGTTAAAATTGGTTAATGTTGTGATTACAGGATACAATGGCAAAACGCAATACCGTCATAGGTACTCCTTTTTGGATGGCTCCAGAGGTAATACAAGAGATTGGCTATAATTGTGTGGCAGACATTTGGTCCCTGGGTATTACTTCAATAGAGATGGCTGAAGGAAAACCCCCCTACGCTGATATCCATCCAATGCGGGTAAGAATCCTGTATTTATAACTTCAGACTTGGAGAGACTTTTCTTTGTAGCCTCTGTCCAGCTGATTTCTTTTGGAGAATGAAAGTCAATAGATTGTCATCCTAAAATGACTGGAACTGTTGCTGGGTGTTCAACAGCTAATTAAACCTACAACTTAACACTGATGCACTATGGTGAAGCATGAATTGTACAGTGGTAGGGGACACTGCCATCATTTGGCTCAGCAAACATAAAGCTGTGCTAATCCGATGTGTAGTATTTCATACTGCATAAGATAATTATTTCCACTAGGCAATGCTAAGTTGTTGTTTGAAGGCAGCAGCTTAAAATCTTGCTTCTAATGAAATGGTAGCCATTTTAAAAATTATACTTAATGTTGCCAAAGATATTTTGATGTTTGCTTATCTAACTGGTTTGCTTTTTTGTGTTTAAACAGTCCTCACTTCAGTAGAAGTACTGTATAGCAAGCCACGTCTAGAGAGATAAGGGGTTAATTGTCAAGGTAATATTTGGGTCCAGTTTAGTGGATATGTATTTTTAATAACAGAGCCATTGTCATATGCTGTCAGCTAGAACGTCTCCTCTCTTGGGAGGAAAGGCAATCTAAATCTTTAGTAATTAGAATAGGGATAGTTGAGTCTTTCTGGTGGTTCTAAATTGCTGCTATCCCTCTCCAGCCAGGTATGTGGTATATTTGGTATTCTTCCATTTCCCTTTTGGACATTGTGGGATGTTGAAAGAAAGGTTAATGAATGAGGAGATGCAGCATGTGTCTAAAACAAGAGAGCTTAAACATACACACAAACAACAACAGCAAACCAATGAGATAAGCAAACATCATGTTAAATGCATCTTTTTAATACTTGGCAATTAGTGCTAGATTACTAAACTGATGTAAAGTGTTATCATACATATATGTATTGATAATATGCTAACATGTAAATTTAGTTTTTGCTAGGCAAACCATTTTGATTTTTGGGTTAAGAAACAGATTATTGGTGATCTAGTCCGTGTACACTGTCATCCTTGGGAAATGTAATGATTAGAGATTACTTATGTTTAATGATGATGGCATTGCTTTTTAAATTCGATCATTTACATTACATCTGGGATAACTTTGACATAATTGCCTATAGTTGCACTAAGTAATGAAAGGTAAGAGCCAAATGAACAGCGAAGATTTTGTAAGCATGAAAATAGCTGCATATAAACTGAGAGTCGTTGTTTTAAGTTGAAGGTTGTGAACTTTTTAAATTCCTGTAATCAAATGTATGATATCAAAGGGCAAAATCATTTATAAAATAACAATTCTGGCTCATATGGAACATATGTTCTTTTTAATAATTTGTGTTCTGGTTTTAAAGGGTTGTATGCAGTTAATATTCTTTTGTATATTTGATACCCAACAGTTCTTAATTTTTATTAGTGAGTTGTTACAGTGGTTAAGAAGAAATACACAGATTCTGGTTGTGATAGTTTTTTCAGCGTTATATGATCCAACTTCACAAGACTCCTGGACATATGTAGATACTTTTCTTTTTTGTTTTAGTTAAGACATTCAATTCGTATAGGCAAGCATGAAAGCTTGGGCAAATTTTCATTGCTTTTTCTGGATCTCGCTTAGATTCTGTGGTATTTACGTAAAACATGGTTTTGTTACTTGGGAATGCATGCTGAAGTTATTCTGAATGTTATTTTGCTGCAGGCCGGTTGGCACTGCCACAAAGGTAATGCATCGCCAGTAGGCCATTTCCTTGTCAATTGCATTTACAGTCTAATAGAGATATTACATGACTTTTTAAACAAGTGTTTTGGCAGGGAGGAAATGGCAGATTCCATGCAAACAAGCATAGCTTCCTCTCTCTAACCACACACTAGCTACTCAGGGAGTTTTACTAAGGTTTGTGATGGTGAGGAGGTACGGAAAGGATTTCAGGTTGAAAGACTGCAATAATAGGACTTCGGGGCTAAGTATTTGGGAATATATAATGGCTATCAGATCTTTCTCAAAAACCAGCCTGTTCTTGTTGTGGTTGGAGAGATGGTGACAGGCAGTCAATGTAGCGGGCTCGTTTAGTGTATATTAAATCTGTGCAAGGTGCCGTGGGGTTCTTTCTGCACTCCTTCCAAGGGCCACCTGCTTCGCTGGTATACCTCAAATGAATACTTTTTAGACATTAAAGCTTAACTCGACTGTCAATCTTTTGTGGCAGGAAGTTTCTAAGGGAAAAGCTTTGGTTGGCATTGTTGATTGCCATCTCTTCAGGAATTGCCACAGAGTTCCTAGTTGCATACCAGGGCTGCAGTAAAACATGGGGAAGCAGTCTCTGGAAATAATAATAGTAATAATAACAGTAATAATAATAATAATAATAATGGTTCTGGTGGGCTTAGTAGAACATACATGACACTATCTCTAACTGGACTTGCATTTGTGGAACATTTCAGAGCTCTCCCATGATCCATTTTTTTATAGAATCCCAATTGCCTTCAGTGAGAGCAAGAGAGATTAGTGAGGATATTTTTAAAGAAAGAAGCTGCTAAGTAAAAAGGGAGAAAAAGCAATGGACAAATATCAGGACTGAACACAGTGGAAATGTGTGTGTTTCCCCAGAACAGTAGTCCCGTATTGCTCTTTTCTCCTGTAGTAATATCTAGTACTATACTATGGAAACTTTGAAGGGCCCCGGAAAACTTGCAGCAGGATGACACCATTTGTGTAGTACTAGACATGTGTTACAAGACTATATGATACTACAGTGCTGTGATGTACATTTGTCTGCCACAAGCAGTGACGATCAAGCTTGCAGCACAGCAGTGTTGCTGATTTGAGCAGCGGCCACATAGTTCCTGTCACACCAAGCACCAAGTATAGGAGGAGAAAAAAGTCTTTATAAAGGGGAACCGTTTCAGTGCCGGGCGTAGACTGTTCTGTGAATTTAATGATAGAACTGCTGCAGTCCTACAGGAAAAATGGGGAAATGGGGAGTCAGTTTTAGCAACCAAAGAACACAGTGAATGAGGAAACTTCCTCCTCCCTACAGCTTTTCTTCCAAAGCACTTTTTGGCTCAGCAAAAGTCATGTTTGGTATCGGAGATGAAGGGAAGAGTGCTTGGCAAAAAGTGCTGTGGGGGGAGGTAAGCTATGGGCAGCACTGTGGTCCTCCTCCCCTGTTTGGTGTTAAAACGGGATCTTCCTTCTCTTTCTATGGTTTTGAGGTGGTTCTGGCTGTAAGCACTCAGAATTGCTACCTTCACACTTTAGTGAGGGTCAGACCTAAGCCTTTTCTCAGCATACATCAGTAGACAATGCATTTGCTGGTTGAGTCTAGTTTTTTTGTGCTCTGGAAGGGGTGGGGCAAATCTGTGATAAGTGTGGTTTCAAAGGCCTCTGAAACAGTGCTAGGAGGACTTGGCACAGAAAGCTGCCTTATATTGAATCAAACCATTGGTCCATCAGGATCACTGTTGTCTACTCAGACTGGCAGTATGGTCTGCTCAGGGTCTCGGGCAGAGATCTTTCGCTTCACCTCTTAACATGATCCTTTTAAATGGAGATACCAGGGATTGAACCTGGGACCTTCCATATGCCATTCAGATGCGCTTGCACTAAGCCATGGGCCCTCCCCTCTGTGCCCTGTCTGTTGGCTTTCCAGGGTGACTGGTTGGCCACTGTGTGAAACAGGATGCTGGTCTAGATGGACAACTGTCTGATCCAGCAGGGATTTTTGTAGTTGTTCTTATGTTATCTTTAGGTATGGTCAGGGGTCATTTAGTAGAAAAAGAGGTGCAGGAGCTCATTAGCATAACTCATTAGCATAACTTATTTGCATATGCTACACCCCCTGGTATCACCGGAAGTGTGTCAGAAGGCAACACCCACTGCTCAGGCTCCACTGGACTTTTTTGGATTGCTAGCTATGGGGGGAGGACGCGCAGATCCTTGTGCTCCTTGTGGCCTGGGGCTGCTTGGAACAGGGGGCAGAGCTTATTGCATGTGCCCGCCCCCTGGGCTCTTTACTGCCGGAGCTCTGCTCCTGTGCACTCCTGCAGGAAATGACCCCTGGGTATGGTTGTCCTTTGCAAATGGTCTCAAGGTGGTATCTTGTGGCTGTCTTTGAATATATTTACTTTGTGTACATTTTGTCTAGGTAGGGAATCTTGTGACTGTTCTTCACACTGGCATGTAAGGAATCTTTACTTAACGTTATCCAACAAATCTTTAAGAAGACGAGGGACATAAAGAAGGCTTCCCAACTCTAGACTTCCCTTTTCCTTCCTTTATCCTTTAGATTACACCCACATATGCTTTCCAAGAAGGCTTCAGCCCTGGTGGCACTCCAAGAAAACATTGCCAACATTTTGAATAAGCAAGCTAGCTTTACATATACTTTCTCCTCTTTCCCCCTTCCCCCTCTCTAATTTATGCTATTTTGTCTTGGGAGAGGCTAGTAATGCAAGATCTTGAAAACATATACAGCATTTGCCTTTGTTTTCTGTGCTCAAGTTGTTGGTAATGGACATGTGGACATCATATGTTCCACAAAATACCGTAGGAAGCCAATTTGAACTGTTTCCATTTGCCTTAAGTCCAATCATGATATTTATTTTTCCATGGCACTTACCCAGATTATCCATACCTCCTGCTTAGCTTGTGTCACTGCCACCACGGACTAATCTGCTTGTGATCACCAGTTTCTTTCCAGTGTTCTTACAACCAGCTGCCTTTCTCCACAGAACTCTTCATACTGTTTATGTTGCCATATAATTGGACAAGATCTGGGTGTTCTGCTGGGAGTAAGTGTCCATATGAACTCAAAAGAGAGAGAGCACTTGGCTTTGAGCATTATTAGCTGTTGAATGTTGCCCTTCCCTTTTCTTTTCTCAACAGCTGAGGGGGCCATAGTTGGCAGTTGCATATTCACCCACATTCTCAAGATAATGGACAACATGATTGCCTAAAAGAAAGATAAAAGAGCCTATACAGTCTTACCTTTTC